TGGGTCCGCCCCAGGCACCTGATGGATCCTGAGAGATTCCAGATGGAGCTTGGGCCACCTCCTGAGGATCTGGCACATGACTCGGCCGAGGACCTGGTGGCTGCCTGGGATCGGGCGGCTGGTGTGGCCTTGGATCGAGTTGTGCCTCTGCGGCCTCTGACCCGGTGCTGATCCCTCGCGGCTCCTTGGTTTACCGAGGAGCTGAGGGAGATGAAGCGCCGGAAAAGACACCTGGAGAGCGGTTGGAGGGCCAGTCTCGCTGAATCTGACCGAACACTAGTAAGGTCGCATATTAAGACCTACTTAGTGGCGATAAAAGCGGCAAAGTTTAATTACTTTTCCGCTCTTATTGCATCATCAGAGAATCGTCCGGCCGCCCTGTTCAGGGTGACCCGCTCCCTGCTTCAACCGGGAGCGCGGGAGGACCTCCTGGAAGGCAGGGCTGAGGATTTCGGACAATATCTGTATGACAAAATCGCTCAGATCCGGGGGGATTTGGACTCTGACTGGGTAGATTCAGGCAGGGTGGCGAGGAATAGTCTTGAGAACGTTATCTGGGAAGAGTTTGACTCTGTGACCCCTGATAACGTGGACAGGATTTTGGGGAGACTTAGTGCGGCCACATGTTTACTGGATCCGTGTCCCTCCTGGTTAGTACTGGCTTCAACCCTTCCAAGACTGAGTGGCTGTGGTTCCCGGCATCCCGATATAGTCAGCTGACTCCATCGCTGACTATTGGGGGCAAGTCTTTGGCCCCCTCGGAGAGGGTGCGCAATCTGGGAGTCCTCCTGGATACGCAGCTGTCCTTGGAGGAACATCTGACGGCTGTAGCCAGAGGGACCTTTTGTCAGGTTCGCCTGATTTGCCAGTTGCGACCCTTTCTTGATCGGGATTCCATGTGCACAGTCACTCATGCCTTCGTCACTCTCGCCTGGACTACTGCAATGCTCTCTACATGGGGCTCCCCTTGAAGAGCACCCGGAGGCTCCAACTGGTCCAGAATGCGGCTGCGCGGGTAATTACGGGAACTGCATGGTGCTCCCACATAACACCGCTCCTGCGCGAGCTGCACTGGCTCCCAGTGGTCTTCCGAGTGCGCTTCAAGGTGTTGGTTACCACCTTTAAAGCGCTCCATGGCATAGGACCTAGTTATCTTCGAGACCACCTGCTGCTACCGACAACCTCCCATCGATCCGTGCGCTCCCACAGAGAGGGCCTCCTTGGGGTGCCATCAGCCAAACAATGTAGGCTGGTGACCCACAGGGGGAGGGCCTTCTCTGTGGGGGCACCTACCCTATGGAACCAGCTGCGCCCTGAGATAAGGAGAATCCAAGACCTTGGTGCCTTCCACCGTGCCCTTAAAACTTTCTTTTTTCATCAAGCCGGGCTGGCTTAACATATTTTTAAATTTTTAATTGGTTTGTCATTTTAAACTGGGGCCAAATTAATATATATTCTTTTAATTTTTCTTAATGTTTGTATTATATGTTTTTATCTGGCTGTACACCGCCCTGAGTCCCTTGGGAGAAGGTGTGGTATATAAATTTGAAATAAAATAAATAAAATTCCAAGGAAAGTTGATATTTAAATCCATCACATAATTATTAAATACACAAATAATTCATACATCTTTTTGCTCTCATTCACTATGTTCAAAATGCACAGCATTTTAGGCATGGTTTATAGTGTATTTCATGCAGTGTCTTGAAAGCATCTCATACAGCAACAAATACAAGTGAACCATGCAAATTTCCTTTAGCAAAGCAGGGTATTAACCCTGATTTACTTGCATTTTATTAATCAGATTAGTATACTACTAAAAGAAAAAAATATGGAACAAAATGTAGTACAGTGCAGGTGCAATGACCTTATTTTCCTCTTCAGAGGCATTAGCCAATGTAACCTGGAGGAGGTATTTCCCAATTTCACATATGACAAACAGATTTCCTGCATAACAGCAAAATATATCTACTAAACTATCTCAAGAGGAAATTGCTTCAGGGCACTATCAGAATGCCACTTCACCATTTAGAATCTTGGATTTTTAAAAATTGTTTTATAATATAGGTTATCAACCTAACACACATTAGAAGACACATAAAGTAACTTCATAATCTTGACCATATTTTTCTGGGTGTATTTTTGAAGTCAAATGTTTATTTCCTGATAGTAATATGCTGTTATCTTTTCTTTTTCTGTCTTTGAAATTTTAGCTTAAGAAATTTGAGATGAAACTCCACTGGATACAGTGGCTGTTAGTAAAAACTAAGTTTCTAATGCATATAACAAAAAAAAACCTAAAGTTTAAGAGACAGAAAAAGTGACAACACACTCCTATCAGTAAATAAACATTTGGCTTCAAAAATACACCCAGAAAATATGGTCAGGATTACTTTCTTGAAATAAAACCATGAGAATCTATTTTTGCCATCATCTTACTGAGCGTTCAGTACAGTTTTGATCATAGGAATGAGATGTAAAAAGGATATTAATGGTAATTCAATGCACCAATAGCAAACATTATTGAATTACCGCAACTGAGTAATATTGCAATGCAATGAGAACGAAAACAATAATATGTAATTCCAACACGTGTGTCATATGTGTCTGAATTTGAGAGAGGATATTTCTCTGATAGAGTAGGTATTTGATTAGTAAATAGTCTAAAGGTCCTCAATCTGTCCTCTCAATATAAGGTTAGTGAAAATGTCTGAACCCTGTTGTTTATCAATATAAAGTGTAAATTATGATTGAATGGTCTGGCCAGTAACAGATTGCTGCCTATATACACTACTACTCATATACATTACTTGATATTTTACATACACTGTAGTTTGCAATAATCTCTTGAATGTGTAAATCTATTGGAAAATATTGCATCCAAATTTACTGCGGAAAGGCTGATCTGTAATGGGCAACCTGCATTTCTTATACTGTACAAGGCATAGGAGCCTTGGTAGTACAGTTTTCTAAGGCACCCTGTTATTAAGCTGGTTATTAAGACCAGCTGCCTGCAATTACTGCAGGTTCGAATCTTGCCAAGGCTCAAGGTTGACTCAGCCTTCCATCCTTTCTAAGGTAGGTAAATTGAGGACCCAGTTGTGGGGGCAATAAGCTGACTTTGTATAAATATACAAAATGATGAAGGCTATTGCTGAGCACATTGTAAGCCGCCCTGAGTCTCCGGAGAAGGGCGGCATATAAATCAAATTAAAAATAAAATAAATAAAAATAAATATATTTCAATGAAGTAGCAACAGATTTAGCTTTAACAGGAAATAAAAATCCCCTTTCCAAATAAAACTAATCACCAACTTACTGTCCCTGGCAATAAGCATGTTTGGATGTAAAAGATGCTTGTATACATGCTCACATTTAGCATGCTGATTAAAAGTTTATTTCAGGATGTTTGTACGGTTTTCCTGACTGCAAGAAAGAATAGCTTCGTTTTTATTATTTATTTCCCATTCTAGTCTATAGATCTTGGGTATATCCTTTGTGGACAGTACAATAAGCTGGTCCGAACTTCGAAAGTTGTAGTTGCTCCACCACTGGAGGCTTTTAAAGAGACTGGACAGCCACTTGTCTGGAAGGGTCTCCTGCCTGAGCAGAGGATTGGACTAGACCTCCAGGGTCCCTTCCAACTTGTTATTCCTTACTTTTTTTTAAAGCTTCCACTGCTGGCTAGGTGCTGCCACCTATCTGGGCTACACAAAATGAACGGGAGAGGAGGAACAGAACTGAGCTGAGTGGAGCCAGAATGCAGAAGTGTTATAAGCCCAAATTCACGATCCCGCCTTAAAAAAACCCCCAAATGTATAAAATGGCACGGACGCCGTTTCAATCTATCCTGATTCTGATTCACACGGCGTGGCAAGGATTTAAACTACAATGTTTCTGCTTAATAGTACATCTTACTATGACTTACTAAACCCGGATTGGAGGGTCACTTTTGTTTAAACGCACCCTAGGTTCGAGCTACGTCGCAGGCAGTAGGACGATCAAGTAGCTAATAAATAACCCGCCACTTTCGCTGGGCAGCCAGGCGTCCTTGCGAGACCTCCCACGCCACAATAACGCCTCCTTCCTCACATGCTCCCCGCGTCTTCCCTCCGATTGGTCAGCCTCCTTCCCCCTCTTCCGCAACCCGGGCCGCCGTCATTGGAAGGCTGTCAGAAGGTTTTGAGCCGTCACCGCCGCGCTCCGGCGGCCGCCCGCTCGTAACCCAACGACAGGGCGGCGTAAGGTATCAATCTCGGAGCGGCGACCAATAAGGGGGCGACTCTCCCCTGAAGCCGAATGTTGATGTGGCTGACTCAGCCAATGGGAGCGACGGTAGCCTGCTCGTGCTGCTTTCGCGGCAAAAAGGATTTGGCGCGCAAACGTGTGCGAGGCCGGGACCAGCTGGGAACAATAACAGTGCCTGAGTTGAGCGCGAGCGGATCGGCTGAGCTCGCTGGTTGGAAAAGACGGGCGGGAAAAAAAAGAAAGCTTCCGTTGATTTTTGGCCGGGGAGGGAGAGACCCGAGTGGGAACAAGGCTGGGCAGCTGGGAAGTCGGCGCTGGCCCCGGAGAGCGTGGATGGAAGAGCCCCCCGCGATGTGCTGCTGTCTGTAACCCCCCCACCCCACCCTTCCCCTTCCCCTTCCCCTTCCCTCCCGAGCGGCGCCCAGACAGGACTCGCCGATGTCCTCCTGCACAGCCGCCCTGGCGCTCTCCCTCCTCGCTCTCGCCTTTCAACTTCGGGCCTTGGCTGGATGCGACTCCTCCGGACACCATTTCCCGGGCCTCTGCTCTTAAAAGAGGATGGGGCGTGTTCCATCCTACCAGCCTCTGCCATCCGGTGTCTCCCTCCACCGCAGCGGCCGGGACGATGGGATTAGTCCGCTGAGGCGACTTTGATTCCGGGGTGGGGGGACTCAAGACGGGGGGACGGTTCTGACTTCCTGCGGTGTGCGGAGAGGAGGGGGGCAACCCGGGCTCCCACACCCCCACCCCCACCCCACCCCCACCCTGCCTTCCTCCCAAGTTCTCGGGCATGTGAGTCCCCGCGCTTTGTGCCATGTCTCTGGAGGGGCTGGAAGTAACTCAGAATGTGGCAGACCTGGAAGCCTTGCTGAGGGGAGCGGAGGCCATCCATGTGATGGAACAGCAGATCGTGATCATTTCCACGCCAGACCAGCTCCCCGCTTCCGAAGGAGACACCGACACCGAGCTGCTGCTCTTTGCCACTCCGCAGCCCGCCAGATTGGAGACCGTACCGCAGAGGCCTGCTCTGGAACGGCCACCGGTAATGCCACCGCTTTTTCCTGTCGCTGCCTTCCAGGAAACCAGGCGTTTGGCCAGGGGCGAAACGTGCTGCTCAGTGTGCAGAGTGTGTCACGCGTGTAGCATGAATGCATTGGCGTGTTCGTGAATGTGTGCTCTGAATGGTATAGAGAGGTGGGGGGGGGTTGTTTCTTTTCGTGCTAGCCAAATAATGTGCAGGCCATTTGTTTAGCGCTGGGTGGGACCTGATTCTGGAGCATTTCTCGAGCAAAGCTGCAGGAGGGCCTTGGTGGTAGAAAGATATAAATTATTCTATCGGGACATTAAAAACTGCGTTGGACTAGACGTAATGGACGTTCGATCGTGATCAAATGAGGATTATGGTTATTTTTAAATCCTATGTTGAGAATCCAGTGGTCCTAAATCCCTCTTGTCTGTTGCCATGTATAAGATTCAGCTTGTTCCTTCTGTGTGAATCTGAGCAATGAGGGAAGAAGGGCCATTGTATTAGGTTAGACCTCTTTCATGAGTTTTAAAGTTAGAGAATAGCAGGATATGCTGGCGGTTGTATCTGTGAGCTGATATAATTGTTTTTAAAACACACATGCCTTTGTCAAAAGACTTTCTGGATGGCTATAATTATAGGAGAGTTTTCAAACTTGTGACTGAAATACTGCTGCTTAAACGTGGCATATGCAGCAAACTTGCAGGAAGGGCAGAGTGCTCATGAAAACATGCAAAGAAATGATTAACTAAAAGGCCTAGGCCTCAAAAAGTGAAATTGTAGAACTTAATCCCGCAAGATATTCCTCTCTAACCTACATAGTTAATATGTTTTTTAGTCTGATAGTTAATTTTCTTATTTATAATTGTTTGCAAGTTAACTGAATTATAGTTGGCCTCTTTCTTTATAGAGCAATAGCCTGCAAATGTTGTTAATGAGGCAGCTTCACTTCCTGTTACAGGATGTTAAGGGCTGTGTTCTGTGCAATTTGTTCTTGCAGTAACAAAAGCAAATGTTTCGCTTTGGTTGTGCTATATGTTGCTTTCTGAAGAGCAGCATACTGCTTGATGTTATACAAAAGAGAAGGGAATTCCAAAAGCAATGAGCTTGCCATGGCATGCAGAGGAAATAAGTGGCTTCAGCAATGCAAGTCTCATTGCTATTCTGTCCTGGAATTAAAGTGTTTAAACTGGAAAAAAACCTAAGGATGTTCCAGTGTTATTCACATACAAAGCTATATACACATCTTTATACAAGCATATAGGTATAGAATTAATGTCAACATTAACTTTTGTCTAGTACCTTTATCGATGGCTAATGGTGCTGTACATTTTTTTCTTTAAAATGCTTTGGAAGAAAAAAAACAAACCTGAAAAACACAAGATTTAAAAATATTTGTGCATACTATTGTGCACATAATGTGTATATAAAGAAATAACCAGGTCTTTCAAGGGTGCTGGAGGGAGAAGGGTTTTATAATACTAATCACAACATGGGAGTAAGTGCCATCTGGATTTTAGATTTCTCTACCACAGACCGTCTAATTTAAATGTGTGGATCCTTTGGGTACAACTTCTGAGAAGTTAGACTAAACATTTCTGTTTTACTGGACCAGTACTAGCTCTGTTTAAAGCTAAGCACACTCTTCATGTCTGCAACATGTTTCGGCTGTGGCCCAATGGTAGAGTGCCTTGTTTGTGTGCAGAAGGGGTCAAAGTTTAGGAAAGGAAAGTGGAAAAAACACCTACTGCTTGGAATCTTCCTGAAAGAGACAGTATAAGGCAATTTCTTTGTTCCTTCATGCTTTTAACCACCTATGCTACTGGTGGTGTATCTGTGACCCCTTTGTTGAAATGATGAGAATTTTATTGTAAAGCCTAGCCAAAGATGCTGGTGAGGAGTGAGAGTTCTTGTTTGTAATTGAAATGAAGGAATGATGTGAAAAAAATAATGTGCTTGGCATTGAAGTTGCCTGCACTTGTTTTAAAAATGTTATCTGGCAAACTATTTCAGTCATATTCTTCCACATATTATGGTGATGGAGAAAGGGACTGTGTGCATTAATTCTATCTTTAGCACCCACGTGTTTATTATTATGTTTGCAATGGAGTCAGCAGTGTGCATGTGCAAACATGGCACTGAATATGTAATGTCAGGTATGAGATTAGGGCTTCTGATAACATACTGTAGCAGAGTGATAATAAGTGTACATATGTATGCATCTTTCACATATACAACTATATTCTGAATGTGGATGCAAACCCTTCAGAATTATATATGACCACCTACTGTCCCTATCTGTAAGTTTTTACCAGCATTTCAATTTTATTTTTAGGACTAGATCTAAACTTTTAATTTTGTAATTTTTTGTTTTATTTTGTCAGCTGCTTTGAGCTTCTGTTGACTAGAAATATGGGCTGTATACCTTGAATTTATAAATAGGTGTTCAGGGTAAAACTGGCAGAATGCTATCTCTCTCTTCCATGGATTGGTAGAGAAATGGAGAATGACTGAAAAGATTTCAAATGAATTTTCTTAAGTTATTTTATACAAAACAAAATCATTTCAGCAGATCAGTTCGCTTCCTACAAAAAGTGTAATTTAACTTTCCTCCATTAACTATATAAATGGTTTTTTTCTGCCTTTTCATAAAAGAATGTTACAGCTTCCAAATGCCACATTGTAGTCATTCGATTTTAGTAATATTGCTTCTGTTTCCATGTCTCTGTATTAAGAAATACTGTTCCTGTTGAACTTTGGTCCATTGTGTAGAAGGTAAAAATGGCATTATCTTTCCATAGAAGAAAATGGAAGCTCTCCTGTAGCTCGTTTCCCTGCTTTCTCAATCAAGCTATTTTATTTAGCATCAAGCTATTTTATTTAGCAAACTTGCAGTCGTTATTCTGTTAAAACTACCATTTGCTGTATTGCTTAGGATTCTCTTCCTTAGTGGTCCACTGCTGGTGAACTCAAGCTCTTGGAGTTTCCTTGCGCAAGAGTTTGATGGACCAGAGTAGCAGACATTGTTGCTCTTTCTCAGCAGGCGGAACAAGGGAGGTGATGCCCACAATGCTTTTTTGCTAGCTTGACATCCTCCTCCCACAGAGGCCCTTTCTGTCAAGGAGCCTACAGTACATGGAAGCTTTACAGTTGATTCTTTGTTTTAACTGTGGGGGTCTACTGTTTGGGTCAAGAATCTGTAATGAACTTTCACTCTGTTGTCTCATGGGGTGCCGGTTATTCAGAGAAGGATTTAAAATATCTGATTTATCCATCATGTAAGCCATCGAGTAGTGGGCTTGAGGGCTTGACCTATAAGGAATGGAGGATGCCAGTGTCCTAGAACATTATTTACATGACTCTGTGGTTGACAAGAAGTTATATGGAGAATAAGGAAGGAAGTTTTCTTAAAAAAACAAGAGTATTTTTGGATTAAATCTGGAAAAATATTTCTTGTTCTAAGGTATTCAGTTTAAAGTTTTGGCATGTTAGTATTAGCTTTCTAGATAAAGCATGTTCCTGTTCTTTACATTATTAAATGCTTTCTTTACATTAAGAGGTATATGTAAAATTTCACTGATGTTTCTCCTTTATAATGGACCTGCAGTAGAGTTCAGCTTTACTGAACTCTACTGGCTTTACTGATTGTTTGACATAGTTTTCTGCTACCTTTTCCCCCCATGTGCTCAGCATGGCTCAAAAACTGGAGATGCCAGGTTATGTAACAGCATAGCCAAATATATACTGAACCCTTTCAAATCCAGATTCTACCTGAATCTTTATTATTCAGATTACCCTTGATGTTTTCAATCAATTTAGTAATGTGTAATCATTCATTAACATAATTTTGGGGGGGTTGGACACTGTTTTTAATGTATAAAAACAGCATCAGTACACTTTTGTACTTCATTTGATAGAACGGGGATATGCTACTGGAAGCACCCAATCAAACACCATTCAACAACTCTTTCCTTATGTAGGGATAAATAGAGCCATAGTTCTACATTGAAGGCTCACCTGGGATTAAAGATACATGTCTCCTGATTTGTTGAATGATGTTCATTGGGTGAAAAATATCCTCTTTAGCAAGACTGGCCACAGTGCAATAGGACATGAGGTTATTCTCCTAGCCGGTGCATTTTTGGCCACCGTTCATTCCTTTAAAATGAAGATATTAATGTCTTTTTCTCATTTCTTTGCAGTGATGATGCAGTGCTTGTATTTTTCACACAGATGTACTACTGTTTTGTGCTGGTAGAAATGCCATGCCTCCTGCAAGCTAGGAAGGAAGAAGCTGGTTGCAACATTTTATGGCATAAATGTGACAGGAAAAGACAAGCTCATAGACAGATTGTTCATATTAAACAGTAATACTTTTCATGACTAAATTAAAAATTATTGTCTTATTCATTATATAGTTCATTAACCATATTCACTAGTTTCAAACCTCACTCCCATTTAGAAGGCATTCTTGGCATCAGTTTTCCAGTATCCATATCTATTCTGCAGATCCAAACTGGTTTAATTACTGCAGCTTTTCACCCAGGGCCTCTAGAAATTCTGGTTTTATGATGATGTGAAGTGTTTTTAATTTATGCTGGGTTCATGATTCCTTTTATTGTGGGAACTGCCTGTTTTCTAAGGTTTCATTCAGACATGTGTATAATTACTCCCTGAAGTATTTTTGTAATGCTTTGAGATCCTCTGAAATAATTCTAATATATTGTGAAAAACATCTACCAGTCAGATGTATAAGAATACATTTTATTAATGTTAAACCAAACCAATTTGTCCAGTTTATCAGTTATTGTCTCTTATTTTAGCTGCCTGAATTGTTAGGATTCCAGGTGTGTTATACACAAAGCAAGTAGGCATTGATCAGGGGTCTGCAACCTTAAACACTCAAAGAGTCATTTGGACTGATTTCCCATAGAAAAGAAAACACCAGGAACCAAAAAACCTGGGTAGGCGTGGCCAACTCGACATCACTCACTCCCACTCAGTCACATGACACCCCC